TCACAACAAAAAGGCTTATGCTTGGACTCTCGGGCTGCAGCCCCTACAAAAATTTTTTATTAAATATTTGCCGCAAAAGAAAAGGGTTTGGCAGACCTTTGTCAAGAGTCATTTTAAATTTTTTTTTGGTTAGGAGTATTTGTGGAAACCCCCCCCTTTCAAGTCTTTTTTTTACCCCAAAGGGGGGGTTTTTTTTGTGAGGGGATACGGGCCCCGTCCGCTTGTATCTTGGACCTATGTTGGTTTATCTGCTGCTGTCTCACTCTTATTTTAGGTTTGGCTTTCAGGCCTGGGAAAGCTCTTCTAAGATTTTGGATGGTGGAGAGGATAGGGGGGTCCCATTATTTTGTCCCATGGCGGCAGGGTTACCACGGGGTGCAGCCTAATCCTGACCCTTCTCGGGGGGGGGGGGGTGGGCACAAAGAGTACAAACCTTTTTTGGGCGCCTGGACCCCACCCTCTTTTAAGCTATCCCCCCCAACCCCAGCGAACCAGGTTGCTAAGATTGATGGGGGCCCCATCTTTCAACATGACCAGGTTCTACCCCAATAAAAAGGTGGATTGAAAACCAAAGGGGTTATGGGGATCCGCCTCCTGCTGCCCTTGTCCCCCTTTTCTAGAGCTGGTTGAAGCCGGTCTGTTTCTTGTGGCTTCTATTCTGCCTTCTTACGGGAGGCACTATTTTATCCTGTACATAGGGTAATTTTGCTTTAAATTGGTAAAGGGAAAATTTAATCTAAACTTTTTCTACTGTGTTTATTTTCTCCCATTTCACCTGGGAAAAACAGGCCATTTTAAATCCAAAGGGTTTTAATAGTGGTGGTGTAGGGGGGTGTAGGTATGTTGTAGGGGGGTGGTAGTTATGGGGGGTAGGGGGTGGTGTAGGTGTTTTTAGGTGGGGGTGTAGGTGGTGAGGTGGGGTTTGGGAGTGTAGGTGGTGGTTAGGTGGGTTTTTGGGGTAGGTGGGGTAGGGGGTGTTGTGGGTAGGTGGTGTAGGTAGTTAGGTGGTGGTTTGTGGTTTTTGGTGTAGGTGTTTTTTGGGGAGGTATGTAGGTGGGGGTGTGGTGGTGTATGATGTATGTGGGTTAGGTTTTGGGTAGGTATTTTGGGGTGGGGTTAGGGGTGTAGGGGGGGTGTGGTGGGGTAGGGTGAGGTGAGTAGGTAGGTAATGGGGTGTAGGGGGTGTATGTGGTGGTGTAGGTGGGGTGGTGGTGGTGGGGTGGTGAGGGGGGTTTAGGTGGGTATGTGGGGTGGGGGTAGGTATGTAGGTGGGGTTAGTGTTGAGGGGGTGTAGGTGGTGTTGGTGTAGTGGTGTAGGTGGGTAGGGAGTGTAGGGGGTGGAGGGGTGTATGTGGTGGTGTAGTTGGGGGTTAGGGGGTGTAGGTGGGGGTGTAGGGGGTGTAGGGGGAGTAGGGGTGGGTTTGGTTGGTAGGGGTGGGGTAGAGGGGAGGGGGTGGGGTAGATGGTGTAGGGGGTGTAGGTGGTGGTGTAGGGGGAGGTTGAGTAGGGGGGGGTGGGGGATGATGGTTGGGGGTTTGGTGGGGGTAGGTGGGGGTGTAATGTGTAGGTGGTGTAGTTTGGGGTAGGGTAGGTGGGGTGTTGGGGTTTGGTGGTGGGGTAGGTGGGTTTGGGGTGGGTAGGTGGGGTAGGTGGGGGGTGTAGGTTTTAGGTGTGAAGGGGTGTAGGTGGGGGTGTAGGTGGGTAATTGGTGTGTTGGTGTAGGGGGTGTAGGGGGTGGTGTAGGTGGTGTAAGTGATGGTGGTAGGTGTGTAGGTAGTGATGGTAGGTTGTGTATTTGGTGTAGGTGGTGGTGTAGGTGGTGTAGGTGGTGGTGTAGGTGGTGTAGGTGGTGTAGGTGGTGCAGGTAGTGTAGGTTGTGTAGGTGGTATAGGTGGTGGTGTAGGTTGTGGTGTAGGTAGTGGTGCAGGTGGTAGTTTAGGTGGTGGTGTAGGTGTGGTGTAGGTGGTGGTGTAGGTGGTGGTGTAGGTGATGATGCAGGTGTTGTAGGTGGTGGTGCATGTGGTATAGGTGGTGTAGGTGGTGCAGTAATGTAGGTGGGTGTAGGTGTTTAGGTGGTAGTGTAGTTGGCGGTGTAGATGGTGGTGTAGGTAGTGGTGCAGGTGGTGTAGGTGGTGTAGGTGGTGCAGGTAGTGTAGGTGGTGTAGGTGGTATAGGTGGTGGTGTAGGTTGTGGTGTAGGTAGTGGTGCAGGTGGTGGTGTAGGTGGTGGTGTAGGTGGTGGTGTAGGTGGTGGTGTAGGTTGTGGTGTAGGCAGTGGTGCAGTGGTGGTGTAGGCGGTGGTGGTAGGTGGTGGTGTAGGTGGTGGTGTAGGTGGTGCTGCAGGTGGTGATGTAGGTGGTGGTGTAGGTTGTGCTGCAAGTGTGGGTGGTGGCGAAGGTGCTGATGGTGTAAGTGGTGGTGGTGTGGGTGGTGGTGTAGGTGGTGGTTGTGTGGGTGGTGGTGTAGGTGGTTGTGGTGTGAGTGGTGGTATAGGTGGTGATGGTGGTGGTGGTGTGGGTGGTGGTGTTGGTGGTGGTGGGGGTAAGAGATAAGATAAGATTTCGTTCGGATTTTTAACCCCGGAGGGTTAGCCACCCAGGATAACCTAAGAAAGTCAGTGCATCATCGAGGACTGTCTAACTTATTTCCATTGTGGTCCTTAATCTTGTCCCCCAGGATGCGACCCACACCAGTCGACTAACACCCAGGTGCCTATTTGCTGCTAGGTGAACAGGACAACAGGTGTAAGGAAACGTGTCGAAATGGTTCCACCCGCCGGGAATCGAACCCGGGCCCTCTGTGTGTGAAGCGGGAGCTTTAGCCACCAGGCCACCGGGCCACCGGGCCACCGGGCCACCAGGCCACCAGGCCACCGGGCCACCGGGCCTGTGGGTATTGATGTAACTTGTGGTGTAGGTAGTGGTGTGGGTGGTGGTGTAGGTGGTGGTGGTGTGGGTTATGGTGTAGGGGATGGCAGTGAGGGTGGTAGTGTAAGTGGTGGTGGTGTGGGTGGTGGTATAGATGGTGATGGTGTGGCTGGTGGTGTAGGTAGTGCTGTAGGTGTTGGTGGTGTAGGTGCTGGTGTAGACGGTGGGGGTGGTGGTGTGGGTGGTGATATAGGTGGTGGTGATGTTGGTGCTGGAGTAGGCACTGGACAAGCACCTAAAGCCGGTACCTGACCAGCCGGGCTGTGGCTCGTTCATTGGATTGCGTGCAGCCAGCAGTAACAGCCTGGTTGATCAGGCTCTAATCCACCAGGAGGCCTGGTCACAGAACAGGCCGCGGGGGTGTTGACCCCTGGAACTCTCTCCAGGTAAACTCCAGGTTGGTGGTGGTGGTCGTGGTGTGGGTGGTGGTGTGGGTGGTGGTGTAGGTGGTGGTGGTAGTGTGGGTGGTGGTGTAGGTGGTGGTGGTGTGGGTGGTTGTGTAGCTGCTGGTGTAGGTGGTGGTGGTGGTGTGGGTGGTAGTGTAGGTGGTGGTGTAGGTGGTGGTGTTGTGGGTGGTGGTGTGGGTGGAGATAATTGTGTGGGTGGTGGTGTGGGTGGTGGTGGTGTGGGTGTTGGTGATGTGGGTGGTTGTTGTGTGGGTGGTGGTGTAGGTGGTGTGGGTGGTGGAGTAGGTGGTGGTGTGTGGGTAGTGGTGTAATTGGTGGTGTAGGTGGTGGTGGTGTGGGTGGTGGTGTAATTGGTAGTGTAGGTGGTGGTGGTGTGGGTGGTGGTGTAATTAGTGGTGTACGTGGCAGTGGTGTGGGTGGTGGTGTGGGTGTGGGTGGTGGTGTGGGTGGTGGTGTAGGTGGTGGTGTGGGTGTTGGTGGTGTGGGTGGTTGTGGTGTGGGTGGTGGTGTAGGTGGTGGTGGTGTACTTGGTGGTGGTTTTGGTGGTGGTGTAGGTGGTGTTGGTGTGGGTGGTGGTGTAGGTGGTGGTGGTTTTTGTGGTGGTGTAGGTGGTGGTGGTGTGGGTGGTGGTGTAACTGGTAGTGTAGGTGGTGGTGGTGTGAGTGGTGGTGTAATTAGTGGTGTACGTGGCGGTGGTGTGGGTGGTGGTGTGGGTGGTGGTGTGGGTGGTGGTGTAGGTGGTGGTGTGGGTGTTGATGGTGTGGGTGGCTGTGGTGTGGGTGGTGGTGTACTTGGTGGTGTTTTGGTGGTGGTGTAGGTGGTGTTGGTGTGGGTGGTGGTGTAGGTGGTGGTTGTGTGGGTGTAGATGGTGATAATGGTTTGGGTGGTGGTGGTGTGGGTGGTTGTGGTGTAGGTGGTAGTGTAGGTGGTGGTGGTGTAGGTGGTGGTGGTGTAGGTGATGGTCGTGTGGGTGGTTGTGTGGGTGTAGGTGGTGATAATGGTTTGGGTGGTGGTGGTGTGGGTGGTGGTGTAGGTGGTGGTGGTGTGGGTGGTTGTGTAGGTGTGGTGTAGGTGCTGGTGGTGTAGGTGGTGGTGTAGGTGGTGGCGTAGGTGGTGGTGATTTTTGTGGTGGGTAGGTGGTGGTGGTGTGGGTGGTGGTGTAATTGGTAGTGTAGGTGGTGGTGGTGTAATTGGTGGTGTAGGTGGTGGTTGTGTGGGTGGTGGTGTGGATGGTGGTGGTCGTGGTGTGGGTGTGCTCTGGTGAGTGGGTGGTGGTGGTGGTGGTGTTGGTGTTGGTGATGTGGGTGGTTGTGGTGTGGTGGTGGTGTAGGTGGTGGCGTAGGTGGTGGTGGTTTTTGTGGTGGTGGTGTGGGTGGTGGTGTAATTGGTGGTGTAGGTGGTGGTGGTGTAATTAGTGGTGTAATTGGTGGTTTTTGTGGTGGTGGTGTGGGTGGTGGTGTGGATGGTGGTGGTCGTGGTGTGGGTGTACTCTGGTGAGTGCATATGAGTACAGTAGTACTCTAGAAAGTTAGTACTAACCTCGTGATTCACTGGGTGGTGTTGTGGGTCGTGGTGTGGGTTTTGGTGTGGGTGGTGGTGGTGGTGGTTGAGTTACCAGGTTGCTGTTCACTTTGACTGGGCAACAAGCTCCCACGTACCTGCGGGGAAAGAGGTGGGTGAGTGGGTGTAAGTTTGAGACTGATCCCCAATAATCTCTGGGACTGATCCCCAATAATCTCTGGGACTAATCCCCAATAATCTTTGCAACTGATCCCCCAATAGTCTCTACGACTTATCCCTCAATAATCTCTGAGATTGATACCCTAGAAGGCAGACAATTCACCCTATCCCCGTCTCCATTCTTGAAGACGAAGCGATCCATCATTGTGAAACAGCATTACAAGATTGTCACATCTTCATGGCTGCCCAAGCTCTCTATGCAGGACTGGCCATCTCTAATTACCAAGTACACCAAGCTACTAGAGTGCCCCCTGAATGGGGCCCAATGTTTATAGTGTATATTTAGGATGTGTGCATATTTAGGATGTGTGATATCACCATGGTTGTTTAATATATTTATAGATGGGGTTGTAAGAGAAGTAAATGCGAGGGTCTTGGCAAAAGGCGTGGAGTTAAAAGATAAAGAATCACACATAAAATGGGAGTTGTCACAGTTGCTCTTTGCTGATGACACTGTGCTCTTGGGAGATTCTGAAGAGAAGTTGCAGAGATTGGTGGATGAATTTGGAAGGGTGTGCAAACGAAGAAAATTAAAAGTGAATACAGGAAATAGTAAGGTTATGAGGATAACAAAAAGATTAGGTGATGAAAGATTGAATATCAGCTTGGAGGGAGAGAGTATGGAGGAGGTGAATGTATTCAGATATTTGGGAGTGGACGTGTCAGCGGATGGGTCTATGAAAGATGAGGTGAATCATAGAATTGATGAGGGGAAAAGGGTGAGTGGTGCACTTAGGAGTCTGTGGAGACAAAGAACTGTGTCCTTGGAGGCAAAGAGGGGAATGTATGAGAGTATAGTTTTACCAACGCTCTTATATGGGTGTGAAGCATGGGTGATGAATGTTGCAGCGAGGAGAAGGCTGGAGGCAGTGGAGATGTCATGTCTGAGGGAAATGTGTGGTGTGAATATAATGCAGAGAATTCGTAGTTTGGAAGTTAGGAGGAGGTGCGGGATTACCAAAACTGTTGTCCAGAGGGCTGAGGAAGGGTTGTTGAGGTGGTTCGGACATGTAGAGAGAATGGAGCGAAACAGAGTGACTTCAAGAGTGTATCAGTCTGTAGTGGAAGGAAGGCGGGGTAGGGGTCGGCCTAGGAAAGGTTGGAGGGAGGGGGTAAAGGAGGTTTTGTGTGCGAGGGGCTTGGACTTCCAGCAGGCATGCGTGATCGTGTTTGATAGGAGTGAATGGAGACAAATGGTTTTTAATACTTGACGTGCTGTTGGAGTGTGAGCAAAGTAACATTTATGAAGGGATTCAGGGAAACCGGCATGCCGGACTTGAGTCCTGGAGATGGGAAGTACAGTGCCTGCACTCTGAAGGAGGGGTGTTAATGTTGCAGTTCAAAAACTGTAGTGTAAAGCACCCTTCTGGCAAGACAGTGATGGAGGGAATGATGGTGAAAGTTTTTCTTTTTCGGGCCACCCTGCCTTGGTGGGAATCGGCCAGTGTGATAATAAAAAAAAATAAATAAAAAAATTTACCTTTTCACATAATTTTATATTGTTGATATTTTCATTAATAGCTAAAATGAAAATATTTTGCTTTATACTATTTTTTTGACTTAGCTATGTCATTAGGTAGGCTGTAACATTTACACTTCACTGTGCTCACTGTTCCAGAGTTGTGATTGGCTGTCCGCCGTCACAAACTGCCTTGCTAGGTACTGCTCACTTGTTTGTGTCAGGCTGAGCCTTGTGCTGTTGCTGGTAGAATATGGTTTCACTGGTGAGTCGAAACATACTTCTTGTAACTCTGTGTAACTTTGTTCACAGAGCATAGTTCAGACAGTGATTTTTTATGTTTTACTGAGGTTGTGTTGTCGTACTGACACTCTAAGTCATCCCAGGTCCCAGGTTAATGCTTCTCACCTATTATGTGTGGCATCTAGGCACTATCATAGTCGGGGATTTGGTTATGCTGAACTTTGATTCGGTATGAAGGGAGTTTTATGACTTTTATGGAGGATCTGCTGAGGGTCCCCAGTCGGGTCTCCAGAAGTAGCTTCAACAAGTCTGTGAATGGCTGCTCTACGAGTCTGCCACCTTACTCATCTCTCCAAAAAACTCCTACAAACGAGCTGCCTTCTGTTGTTCCTACCTGCCGTCCTCTCCTGCGACCAAGCCCACTCAAGACTTCCAACTAACACAAGCCTGATGCAAGCACAGCCTGCTCCTTCTGTTTTCCACCTAGCTACTGGGTTAAGCCCTAACACTTTCTCTAAGACTGTGAACACTCCTATCCACCGCTATTTTTCCCTTGTCCTGTCTTCCCCATTCACCCCACAAGGATTTTACAAAAACTCTCTTGTCTTTTGATGCATAATCTGAGACTGATCTCCAGTAATGTCAACAAAGACCAGCTCTGGGACTGACTCCCAGTACAGCAGACATATACTCACGTTCCTTCAATAAAGCAGACATACTGTAGGAAGACCTGGAAGTTCTGTGAGAACTCTGGCAGTATACAGTGCTGGAGCAGACGGCAGTGACCTCGTTCACGTCTGGGTGTCAAGCACTGCTGGTAGGGCAGGTCTGGCTGTATGTACAAGATGGTGGCACTGTTAGTACACTGTATGTACAGTGTAAGTACAATGTAAGTACAATGTTAGTACACTAAGTACAGTGACAGATAACACTGCAACATACACTGACAATGTCAAATTTTACTGGTTATTTCTTACAAGGCCACTTCTCATTTCGAAGTGCAACAGTTCTTGGGCCCCCACTGATGTACAGCAGCTCCTGGACCCCCAGTAATGTACTTACCATTCAGTTCATCCAAGCAATCAGATGAAAGCCGGTGTATCAGCCCAAAATATACCCCCTCCCAAGACTATACCCAGGGTTAAAGTGGGTTAGCCTGTTTTATACCCCCGGGGTATAAACTGGACTAGCCCAGACTATACCTTTAGGTATAAAACAGGCTAGGCTACCTCATACCCCTCTAGGGCAGATTATACTCCCTCCAGTAATATAGTTCAGATACAATAATAATAATATTTTTATTTACTACCAGTACATGTACAAGGTATACAAGTACATGTACAAGGTATACAAGTACATGTACAAGGTATACAAGTACATGTACAAGGTATACAAGTACATGTACGAGGTATACAAGTACATGTACAAGGTATACAAGTACATGTACAAGGTATACAAGTACATGTACAAGGTATACAGACCATAGCTGACATCATTGACATACTACTATATAGAAAACCCCTTGTTATGCTCAGCATTTCCTGCAGTTTACCTGGAGTTTACTTGGAGAGGTTTTCGGGGGTCAACGCCCCCGCGGCCCGGTCTGAAACCAGGCCTCGTGGTGGATCAGGGTCTTATTAACCTGGCTGTTACTGCTGGCCGCACGCAAGCTGACGTACGAACCACAGCCCGGCTGGTCAGGTACTGACTTTAGGTGCCTGTCCAGTGCCTGCTCGAAGACAGCCAGGGGTCTTGAAGACAGCCAGGGGTCTTGAAAACATCCAGGGGTTTTGAAGACAGCCAGGGGTCTTGAAAACAGCCAGGGGTCTTGAAGACAGCCAGGCATCTTGAAGACAGCCAGGGGGTCTAGGAAGACAGCCAGGAGTCTTGAAGACAGCCAGGAGTCTTGAAGACAGCCAGGAGTCTTGAAGACAGCCAGGAGTCTTGAAGAGAGCCAGGGGTTTATTGGTAATCCCCCTTATGTATGCTGGGAGGCAGATGAACAGTCTTGGGCCCCAGACACTTATTGTGTTGTCTCTCAGTGTACTCGTGGCGCCCCTGCTTTTCATCGGGGAAATGTTGCATCTTCTGCCGATTAGGTTAATTTTGTCTCAGGATGCCACCCACACCAGTCCACTAACTCCCAGGTACCCATTTTACTGATGGGTAACATGGACAGCAGGTGTCTTAAGGAAACACGCGCTAATGTTTTCACCCGTACAGAGGAACTGAACCACGGACCTCAGTGTGTCAGTTGAGACAAGTGCGCTAACGATCCAGCTACGGGACACCCATGGGAGGCTTTCATGATGGTGGGCATACGGGAGTTGACAAGAACCTCCTGGTCTCCAGCTGGATTATCATGACAGGTCTTCAGGACTGTGAGCAACACGGGGTCTGATAAGAACCTCCTGGTCTCCAGCTGGATTATCATGACAGGTCTTCAGGACGGTGAGCAACACGGGGTCTGATAAGAACCTCCTGGTTTCCAGTTGGATTATCATGACAGGTCTTCAGGACGGTGAGCAACACGGGGTCTGATAAGAACCTCCTGGTCTCCAGCTGGATTATCATGACAGGTCTTAGGACGGTGAGCAACACGGGGTCTGATAAGAACCTCCTGGTTTCCAGCTGGATTATCATGACAGGTCTTCAGGATGGTGAGCAACACGGGGTCTGATAAGAACCTCCTGGTCTCCAGCTGGATTATCATGACAGGTCTTCAGGACGGTGAGCAACACGGGGTCTGATAAGAACCTCCTGGTCTCCAGCTGGATTATCATAATGGGTCTTCAGGACGGTGAGCAACACGGGTCTGATAAAACCTCCTGGTCTCCAGCTGGATTATCATAACGGGTCTTCAGGACGGTGAGCAACACGGGGTCTGATAAGAACCTCCTGGTCTCCAGCTGGATTATCATAACGGGTCTTCAGGACGGTGAGCAACACGGGTCTGATAAGAACCTCCTGGTTTCCATGGAAGAGTGTTCCAGTGTCAGCACTAAATATCTTTGCTGTCTGACGAAAGAGGTTGCATGCAGACGCTTGGCAGGATCCTGATGCTAGACAAGCTAAGGATACTCTCGCTCAGCGCTGGTCTAGAAGTTCTGAATCTTTTTGTACATGATAGTTGGAAAAGTTGTGAATAGAAGTGAATAATATGGACACTAGGAGCACAGGAGAACAAGTCACGAGCTTCAAGCGCAACGATGGACAAAAACAAGGGCGCCACTATATAGGTGTTTCAAAGATGTGGACCTAATTTTAAAGGAAACTGTTTTGAAACTGGGTTCGTCTGAAACATCCTGTATGTACATGACCTGAGTCTATTTTCTGACCTCACACGACCTGACCTGACGTCTTGACCTATTCTGTCCTCTTTCAACATAGAATTTATTAACTCATCGTGAAATTTATAAAATCCATCAGATAAACGTCAGTGTTACAAATTTTGAATTCGATTAAATTCTTTTAAATTTGTAATTTTATATTTTAACCTCTCAGTTTAAACTCAATTATTGCTGTATCAAATTCCCCCCCCCCCCGCGTTTTAATCTTCTATAAATGATCTTCTTAATGCTAATAAGATGCTTGATCCTACCTTTCATCCATATTGGGTTATTATTTCTCGACCTCAATTGCCTTTTATGAAAAACACGAAGGGGGGGGGTTATAATCTGGACTAGAGGTCGATATTCGGGGCTAGCCTGTTTTATACCCAGGGGTATAAAACAGGCTAGCCCACTTTAACCCCGGGTATAGTCTTGGCAAGGAGGTTAATAAGGGTTGCTACACCGGCTACATCAGCCAGGGTGACCTTACACCAGCAGACTTACTAAGAGGGAGACACACCACTACTCTGGTTAATACCACTCTTCTCCCTACAGTTACGCTCACATTAGCATATTAACATGGTAAATAATATTAATAACTAATGATGGGATCCAGGGGTAGAGAAATCTGACACTGATGTGTGTTTCTTTTTTATTATTTCTGTGTTTTATAGATGTTTAAATTAACATTCTGTGATGTTGGCTATAACTACATTGATATCTGTAATTGTTAGTACACTACTACTGCTGCTGCTGCTACTACTACTACTGTTGTTGCTACTACAACTACAGCTGCTGCTGGTACTACTACTGTTGCTGCTACTACTACTACTACTACTACTAATGTTGCTACTACTGCTGCTGCTACTACTACTACTACTACTGTTGCTACTACTGCTGCTGCTTCTACCACTACTACTGCTGCTGCTGTTACTACTACTACTACTGCTGCTGCTGCTACTACTACTACTACTACTACTGTTGCTGCTACTACTACTACTACTACTACTGTTGCTACTACTACTGCTACTGCTACTACTACTGTGCTGCTGCTACTAACTACTACTCTACTGCGTTGCTAAAATACTACTGCTGCTGCTATACTACTACTACTACTACAACTGTTGCTGCTACTACTACTATACTACTACAATTGCTACTACAAAGCTGCTGCTCTAATTTCTACTACTACTACTACTGTTTGCTGCTACAACTACTACTGCTGCTTATACTACTACTACGTTGCATACTACAAAATGCTGCTGCTACTACGCTACTCTTTCACAAATACTGTGCAACTGCTACTGCGCTTCTTCCCCACTAACGCTGCTAACTACTTGTGCTACACTAATTCTGCTGCTGCTGCTACTACTACTACTACTAAAATACTACTACCAACTAATTGCTACTACTATTGGGTTACTACTACTTTCTGTTGCTACTACCCGCTGCGCTCACTACTACTGTTGCTGCACTACAGCTGCTGCTACTACTACTACTACTGTTGCTACTACTACTGCTGCTGCTGCTACTACTACTACTGCTGTTGCTACTACTACTGCTGCTGCTACACTATAACTACTACTGTTTGCCTGCTACAAATATTTAACTGTTGCTACTACTACTGCTGGGTGTCTACAACTACTGTTGCTACTACTAAATCTGCTGCTGAGCTCTACTACAACTACTGCTGTTGCTACTACTACTGCTGCTGCTACTACTATTACTACTACTGTTGCTGCTACTACTATTACTGTTGATACTACTACTGCTGCTGCTACTACTACTACTGTTGCTACTACTACTGCTGCTGCTACTACTACTACTACTGCTTTGCTACTACTACTGCTGCTGCTAAATTTCTACTACTACCTACTACGTTCTGCTACTACTGCCCACTACCCCACTGCTGCGCTGCTACTACTACTGCTGTTGCTACTACTGCTGCTGATGCTACTACTATTACTACTACTGTTTCTGCTACAACTACTATTATGTTGCTACTACTACTGCTCTCTGAGCTGCTACTACTACTACTGTTTTGCTACTAAATACTGCTGCTGCTGCTACTACTACTACTACTACACTGGCTGCTGCTTGCTGCTGCTGCTCTACTACTGCTGCTGCTACTTACGCTGATACTACTGCTTTCTACTAAATGCTGCTACTACTGCTGCTGCTGCCCGCTAGCTACTGCTGCTGCTACCCACTGTTGCTACTACTGCTGCTAAATACTGCTGCGCTGCTACTACTGCTCCACTACTACTACTACTAACTAACTTTGTTTGCCCGCTACTACTAAACTACTAAATTTCTGCTACAAATCTTTCTGCTGCTACTACTGCTACCCCTACCCAAACTCTACTACTGTTTCTGCTAAATACTACTAAAAACTACTACTACTGCTACTACTGCTGCTGCTGCTACTACTGCTACCCTACTACTACTACTACTACTACTACTACTACTACTACCACTACTGTTGCTGCTACTACTACTAAACTAACTGTGCAGCTACTACTACAACTGCGCTTTCTGCTACAACCCACTACTACTACTACTCTGCTGCTGCTACTTACTACAAACTACCCGCGCTGCTACTCTACTACTACTGCGCTGCTGCTACTACTACTACTGCGCGCTGCCTACTATACACTGCTGCTGCTGCCCACTACTTTCTACCACCCACTACTACTACACTACTACTACTACCTACTACTACTTGCTGCTACAACTACTAAAACTACTGTTGCAGCTACTACTACTACTGCTGCTGCTGCTGCACTACTACTACTACTACTGCTGCTGCTACACTACCTACAACTACTGCTGCTGCTGCTGCTACTACTACTTCTGTGCTGCTGCTACTACTACTACTGCTGCTGCTGTTACTACTGCTACCACTACTATACTACTACTACTACACTACTACTACTACTACGCAGCTGCTGCTGCTGTATGTAGCTAACTGCTACTAGTACTACAATTACTGCCGCTGCAGCTACTACTACTGCTGCAGCCCGCTGCTACTAATATTACTACTACTAATACTACTACTACTAAAACTATTACTACTTGCTGTCTACCTACTAAATACACTAACTGCTACTGCGTGCTACTACTACTACACTACAGTCTACAATTAACTGACTGCTGCGCTACTACTACTGCTACTACTACTATACTATTTCTATACACTGCTGCTGCTGCTGGCCCGCTACTAGACTTTGCTACCGCTACTAGTACTACAATTAACTGCTGCAGCGCTACTTACTACTGCGCTACTACCTACTACATACTACTGACTACTACTACCCACTACTGGGGGCTCTACTACTATTCTACTACTGCACCTTCTGCTGCTGCTGCTACTACTACTCAACTACTGCACTACTACTACTACTAACTAACCTACCACAACTACACAAAATACCACGCACTTTACTCCGGGACTACACAAATACACAAATACCACAACTGCCCAACTACACACAACATGCCACAACTACCACAACTACCACAACTGCCATAAAACCACAACTACCACAAATACCACAACTACCACAACTGCCACAACTGCCACAACTACCACAACTACCACAACTACCACAACTACCACAACTGCCACAACTACCACAATGCCACACAACCACAACTACCACAACTGCCATAAATACCACAACTACCACAACTACCACAACTACCACAACTGCCACAACTGCCACAACTACCACAACTACCACAACTACCACAACTACCACAACTGCCAACAATTACCACAACTACCACAACTACCACAACTGCCACAACTACCACAAACTACCACAACTACCACAACTACCACAACTGCCACAACTACCACAACTACCACAACTACCACAACTACCACAACTACCACAACTACACAACTGCCACAACTACCACAACTACCACAACTCCACAACTACCACAACTGCCACAATTACCACAACTACCACAACTACCACAACTGCCACAACTACCACAACCACCACAACCACCACAACCACCACAACTACCACAACTACCACAACCACCACAACTACCACAACTACCACAACTACCACAACTACCACAACTACCACAACTACCACAACTACCACAACTGCCACAACTACCAATCTACCACAACTACCACAACTACCACAACCACCACAACTACCACAACTACCACAACTACCACAACTACCACAACTACCACAACTACTCACCAGACCAATACCCAGCTGGAAGTAACTGTTCCTGGCCAGTATATGAGGTGTCTCAGGTAGACCAGCCAGGGATATCTGATTGTTATTGCTTGAGTGAACCACCTGGTCGAACCACGCCAGCTGGCTACCGAGGTTGTGCTCTGAAAGAGAACCACCTGTCAGTATGGCGCTAAAACCTCACGGGCTGCGAGGATTTCTTTAAAAAAATTATTATTTATTATTATTATTATTATTATTATTATTATTATTATTATTATTATTATTATTATTAGTATTAGTATTGTTATTATTATCATTATTATTATTATTATTATTATTATTATTATTATTATTATTATTATTATTATTATTATTATTATTATTATTATTATTATTATTATTATTATTATTATACTAATAAAGACAACCAGGGGTCTTGAAGACAACCAGGGGTCTTAAAGACAACCAGGGGTCTTGAAGACAACCAGGGGTCTTAAAGACAACCAGGGGTCTTAAAGACAACCAGGGGTCTTAAAGACAACCAGGGGTCTTGAAGACAACCAGGGGTCTTAAAGACAACCAGGGGTCTTGAAGACAACCAGGGGTCTTAAAGACAACCAGGAGTCTTGAAGACAACCAGGGGTCTTAAAGACAACCAGGGGTCTTGAAGACAACCAGGGTCTTGAAGACAACCAGGGTCTTAAAGACAACCAGGGTCTTAAAGACAACCAGGGGTCTGAAGACAACCAGGGGTCTTAAAGACAACCAGGGGTCTTGAAGACAACCAGGGGTCTTAAAGACAACCAGGAGTCTTGAAGACAACCAGGGGGTCTTGAAGACAACCAGGGGTCTTGAAGACAACCAGGGGTCTTAAAGACAACCAAGGGTCTTGAAGACAACCAGGGGTCTTGAAGACAACCAGGGGTCCTGAAGACAACGAGGGGTCTTGAAGACAACCAGGGGTCTTAAAGACAACCAGGAGTCTTGAAGACAACCAGGAGTCTTGAAGACAACCAGGGGTCTTGAAGACAACCAGGGGTCTTAAAGACAACCAGGGGTCTTGAAGACAACCAGGGGTCTTGAAGACAACCAGGGTCTTAAAGACAACCAGGGTCTTGAAGACAACCAGGGTCTTGAAGACAACCAGGGGTTCTGAAGACAACCAGGGGTCTTGAAGACAACCAGGGGTCTTAAAGACAGCCAGGGGTCTTGAAGACAACCAGAGGGTCTTGAAGACAACCATGGGGTCTTGAAGACAACCAGGGGTCTTAAAGACAACCAAGGGTCTTGAAGACAACCAGGGGTCTTGAAGACAACCAGGGGTCCTGAAGACAACGAGGGGTCTTGAAGACAACCAGGGGTCTTAAAGACAACCAGGAGTCTTGAAGACAACCAGGGAGTCTTGAAGACAACCAGGGGTCTTGAAGACAACCAGGGGTCTTAAAGACAACCAAGGGTCTTGAAGACAACCAGGGGTCTTGAAGACAACCAGGGGTCTTGAAGACAACCAGGGGTCTTGAAGACAACCAGGGGTCTTGAAGACAACCAGGGGTTCTGAAGACAACCAGGGGTCTTGAAGACAACCAGGGGTCTTAAAGACAGCCAGGGGTCTTGAAGACAACCAGAGGGTCTTGAAGACAACCATGGGGTCTTGAAGACAACCAGGGGGTCTTGAAGACAACCAGGAGTCTTAAAGACAACCAGGGGTCTTAAAGACAACCAGGGGGTCCTGAAGACAACCAGGGGGTCTTGAAGACAAACAGGGGTCCTGAAGACAACCAGGGGTCTTGAAGACTACCAGGGGTCTTAAAGACAACCAGGGATCTTGAAGACAACCAGGGGTCTTAAAGACAACTAGGGGTCTTGAAGACAACCAGGGGTCTTGAAGACAACCAGGGGTCTTGAAGACAACCAGGGGTCTTGAATACAGCCAGGGGTCTTAAAGACAACCAGGGGGTCTTGAAGACAACCACGGGGTCTTGAAGACAACCAGGGGTCTTGAAGACAACCAGGGGTCTTGAAGACAACCAGGGGGTCTTAAAGACAACCAGGGGATCTTGAAGACATCCAGGGGTCTTGAAGACAATCAGGGGGTCTTGAAGACAACCAGGGGTCTTGAAGACAACCAGGGGTCTTAAAGACAACCAGGGGTCTTAAAGACAACCAGGGGTCTTGAAGACAACCAGGGGTCTTAAAGACAACCAGGGAGTCTTGAAGACAACCAGATGTCTTGAAGACAACTAGGGGTCTTAAAGACAACCAGGGGGTCTTGAAGACAACCAGGGGGTCTTGAAAACAACTAGGGGTCTTGAAGACAACCAGAGGTCTTGAAGACAACCAGGGTGTCTTGAAGACAACCAAGGGTCTTGAAGACAACTAGGGGTCTTAAAGACAACCAGGGGGTCTTGAAGACAATCAAGGGTTTTGAAGACAACCAGGGGCCTTGAAGACAACCAAAGGGTCTAGAAGACAACCAGGGGTCTTGAACACAACTAGGGGTCTTGAAGACAACCAGGGGGTCTTGAAGACAACCAGAGGTCTTGAAGACAACCAGGGGTCTTGAAAACAACCAGGGGGTCTGGAAGACAACCGGGGGGTCTTGAAGACAACCAGTGAGTTTTGAAGACAACCAGGGGTCTTGAAGACAACCAGGGGTCTTTAAGACAACAAGGGGGTCTTGAAGACAGCCATGGGGTCTTGAAGACAACCAGGGGGTCTTGAAGACAACCAGGGGTCTTGAAGACAACCAGAGGGTCTTGAAGACAACCAGGGGTCTTTACGACAACAAGGGGGCACTACAATGGATCAGGGAATACTTGTCAGGAAGACAGCAGCGGGTCATCGTAGGTGACGAGGTGTCAGAGTGGGCACCTGTGACTTGCGGGGTCCCACAGGGATCAGTCCTAGGACCAGTGCTATTTCTGGTATTTGTGAACGACATGACGGAAGGAATAGACTCAGAAGTGTCCCTGTTTGCAGATGACGTGAAGTTGATGAGAAGAATTCATTCAATCGAAGACCAGGCAGAACTACAAAGGAATCTGGACAGGCTGCAGACCTTGTCCAGCAATTGGCTCCTGGAGTTCAACCCCACCAAGTGCAAAGTCATGAAGATTGGGGAAGGGCAAAGAAGACCGCAGACGGAATACAATCTAGGGGGCCTGAGACTACAAACCTCGCTCAAGGAAAAAGATCTTGGGATGAATATAACACCAGGCACATCTCCTGAGGCACACATCAACGAAATAACTGCTGCAGCATATGGGCGCCTAGCAAACCTCATAACAGCATTCCGGCATCTTAATAAGGAATCGTTCAGGACCCTGTACACCGTGTACGTTAGGCCCATATTGGAGTATGCGGCACCAGTTTGGAAACCACACCTAGCCAAGCACGTAAAGAAACTAGAGAAAGTGCAAAGGTTTGCAACAAGACTAATCCCAGAACTAAGAGGTATGTCCTACGAGAAGAGGTTAAGGGAAATCAACCTGACGACACTGGAGGACAGGAGAGGTAGGAGGGACATGATAATGACATACAAAGTACTGAGAGGAATTGACAAGGTGGACAAAGACAGGTTGTTCCAGAGATGGGACACGGCAACAAGGGGACACAGTTGGAAGTTGAAGATACAGATGAATCACAGGGATGTTAGGAAGTATTTCTTCAGCCATAGAGTAGTCAGGAAGTGGAATAGTTTGGGAAGCGATGTAGTGGAGGCAGGATCCATACATATCTTTAAGCAGAGATATGATAAAGCTCACGGGTCAGGGAGAGTGACCTAGTAGCGATCAGTGAAGAGGCGGGGCCAGGAGCTTGGACTCGACCCCTGCAACCTCAACTAGGTGAGTACACACACACACACACGGGTAAGTACAGGTCCCGACGAGTCACCGGATGCTGGAGACTATATAATCTCACAGGGATTCCCAATGTATGAGCATCCTTCAGAATAGATCCACCTCCAGTGCAACCTTGGTACCTGATACTGTGATACCTTGCCACCTGATACTGTGATACCTTGGTACCTGATGCTGTTGCTAGGTGCTGGAGAAGGTTCTAAGCCACCAGTGGTACCTTGGTACCTGATACTGTTCCTAGGTGCTGGAGAAGGTACTAAGTCACCAGTGGTACCTTGGTACCTGATACTGTTCCTAGGTGCTGGAGAAGGTACTGAGTCACCAGTGGTACCTTGGTACCTGATACTGTTCCTAGGTGCTGGAGAAGGTACTAAGTCACCAGTGGTACCTTGGTACCTGATACTGTTCCTAGGTGCTGGAGAAGGTACTAAGTCACCAGTGGTACCTTGGTACCTGATACTGTGCTAGGTGCTTCAGAAGGTACTAAGTCACCAGTGGTACCTTAGTACCTGATACTGTTCCTAGGTGCTGGAGAAGGTACTAGGTCACCAGTGGTACCTTGGTACCTGATACTGTTCCTAGGTTCTGGAGAAGATACTAAGTCACCAGTGGCACCTTGGTACTTGATACTGTTCCTAGGTGCTGCAGAAGGTACTAAGTCACCAGTGGTACCTTGGTACCTGATACTGTTCCTAGGTGCTGGAGAAGGTACTAAGTCACCAGTGGTACCTTGGTACCTGATATTGTTCCTAGGTGCTGGAGAATGTACTAAGTCACTAGTGGTACCTTGGTACCTGATACTGTTCCTAGGTGCTGGAGAAGGTACTAAGTCACCAGTGGTACCTTGGTACCTGATACTGTTCCTAGGTGCTGGAGAAGGTACTAAGCACCAGTGGTACCTTGGACCATACTATTGCTAGGTCTTCGAAGTACTAAGCACCAGTGGTACCTTAGTACCTGATACTGTTCCTAGTGCTGGAGAAGGTACTAAAGTCACCAGTGGTACCTTGGTACCTGATACTGTTCCTAGGTACTGGAGAAGGTACTAAGTCACCAGTGGCACCTTGGTACCTGATACTGTTCCTAGGTGCTGCAGAAGGTACTAAGTCACCAGTGGTACCTTGGTACCTGATACTGTTCCTAGGTGCTGGAGAAGGTACTAAGTCACAGTGGTACCTTGGTACCTGATATACTGTTCCTAGGTGCTGGAGAAGGTACTAAGTCACCAGTGGTACCTTGGTACCTGATACTGCTTCCTAGGTGCTGGAGAAGGTACTAAGTCACCAGTGGTACCTTGGTATCTGATGTTGTTCCTAGGTG